TATTTTTCAGTAGAGTACAGTTAATAAACCTATATCAAAATTGTTGAGATAGGAGAGTTGATTTTCTTTCTATGTTCCTCTGGTAGACAATTTTATTGAAGTGCCACCCAGTGAAAATTGGAAAAGACCAAAATCAATCAACAAGCATGAAAACTCCCTTTCTCATAAGACATGTGTAATTAAAATGAAAAATAGATCATCAGAATTAAATAGGGTGGATAAAACTCTTCAGTATCAAGTAGAAACAGAAAAAGATTATTGGAAAAATGTCCTAATAAGGGTTTGTGCTGTTGTAAAATCTTTATCAAGTCGTGGCTTGCCATTTAGAGGTGATAATGAGCAGTTTGGATCTTTACACAATGGTAATTTTAAGATGTGTCTGGAATTGATAGCAGAATTTGATCCGTTTTTGGCCAAACATATATCAAATCATGGAAATCACGGTAAAGGTCACACAAACTATTTGTCTCATTTTACATATGAAAAATTTATTAAGTTAATGGCAGTTAAAGTTCAAAATAAAGTGGTTGAAGAAATTATAAGAGCTCGATATTTTTCAATAAGCATTGACTCAACTCCTGATATTGGTCACATTGATCAACTTTCATTTATATTTAGGTATGTTAACAGTGATGGGTTACCGGTAGAAAGATTTTTATGTTTTTTGGAAAATGTTGGACACAAGTCTCAAAAAATGGCTGATGCAGTTTTTTCTATATTAAAAAAATACAATTTAGATATTTCATATTTACGTGGACAATCATATGATAACACTAAAAATATGTCTGGCGTTTATTCTGGTCTTCAAGCTAGGATCCGTGAAATTGCACCTTTGGCTGATTTTATTCCGTGTTCAGCTCATTCACTTAACTTGATTGGATCTTATGCGGCTAGTTGTTGTAAAGAMGCTAATTCATTTTTTTGTTTTATCCAGAATGTGTATACCTTTTTTTCAGCTTCTACTCACCGTTGGGATCTACTTAAAATTAATTTGACATTGAAAAATCTATCTGAAACGAGATGGTCAKCGCGATATGATGCCTGCAAAGCTCTTATTGATAACTGGAGAATCGTGAAGCAAACTTTAGTTTACATATCAAACAATTTAAATGAAAAATCTATTACATGTAATGAAGCTCGTGGTTTACTTCATKCAATGAATCGTCTTGAAACTACATTTATGTTGTTATTTTGGGGAGACCTACTACAACGATTAATGCCATAAGTAAATTTTTACAATCAGTTAATATTGATATTTGTACGGTTTGTGAACATTACAATTCATTAATAAAGTATGTTTCAAATCTCAGGAACGATGAAATRYTTTTACAATATCAAGAAAAAGCATTAACAAAATGTGATGTAAATGTTTATGRAACAACTTCTAAACGTAAAAGAAAAAGAAACAAAAAGAATGATGAAATAGTTGATCTAGAAGAAGTTGATTTGCCTAGTGATGTAGAATTCAAAGTCAATACATATTATGTAATTTGTGACTCTATAATTAATGAATTAACTACTAGAAAGTTGGCATATGATAATGTTATAACGAAGTACARTTTTTTTTTWAAACTTGAAGTAATGAAAACATCAGAAGTATATGTATCAGCTGAAAATTTATATTTGATGTACAAAAGTGATTTAGATGAAACTTTTATAAATGAGCGCATCCATTTCCAAAGTCATCTACAAAATATAAAATATTATCCTAAAAGTATAATTGATATGAGTACCATGATGAAAAAACATGAGTTGGAGGATATTTTTCCATATGTTTCTTTGTACTCCAGCGACTAATTGTACCGCAGAGCGGTCATTTTCGACACTTAGACGTATAAAAACATATCTAAGGTCAAATATATCCACAGATAGACTGAATGCATTGGCGATTTTAAATATTGAATCTCAATTAACTCATCAGCTTAATTATAGCGACATAATTGAAGATTTTGCCAATAATCAAGCCAGGAAATAAATACATTAAAACTAAAGAAAATTGTATGTTTTATTGTTATAATTTGTTAATTAAAAAAAATTTATTATGTTTTAATTTGTTGGTTAAAAAAAGGTAATTTTATGTTTTATTATTTTATAATTTGTTAATTAAAAAAAGTATTAAATGATTTTCATTTATCAATTGTTTAGTTAGATTTTAATATTAAAGAAT